CTCATAAACTTTCACGGAAAATAGAAATGGTAGCTAGTTGCAGCTCAGGGCTCCCTTGGGCCAGAAAAAGAGATCAAGAGAATCTGGGGTTATGGGCAGAATCCTGGGTAAAAGAGATCTAGATGACAAAAGGGAACATTTTGATAAATCAATAGAGGGAATCGGTTGCATTTACTGTGGTAACCATTTTGTGTGACTGCCCACAATGTGTTTGCAAAAATCTACAGGCACTCACCCAACCCCCCAAAAGCTGAAATAGTCCTATTCTACTATATCCCATTTCTTGATGTCTTTCTTGATGGCCACATCAATCATGAATGGTGTTGAGTGAGAAGTCTTCAAGATGTCTTCTAGGGCAAGGTTCTGCAACCTTGACAACTTTAAGACTGGTGGACTTCAGCTCCCAGAATTCCTCAGCCAGCTATGCTGGCTGAGGAATTCTGGGAGCTGAAGTCCACAAATCTTAAAGTTGTGAAGGTTGTAGACCCTGTTCTAGGGCTTGTTTTCTCCACAAGACTTCAAAGAAAGCCACTGAGTTTTGACTTTAAAACTGAAATGGCACTCTGGGGCTATGAAGTACCCAGCCAGTCTTCAGAATCCAGTTGAGTCAGTACAGCATTGTGCTAAGCATCTGGTACCAGATGTTGACAAATTGATGAAACATTGCGACATTACAACTTAGAGCCCGCCTTTCAAAACCTTTCACCCTGATTCTTGACACAAAAACATAAGTTATGGAATTTTCATTGGGATGTTGCGAGACATGTTTCATCATTTACCCCTTTTACTGCCACACCCCCTACCCTTCACACTCATCTACGAGCTGTGAGGAAAGTTGCAAAGTCTTATCCTGATTGGTTAGTTATGTCTAAAGAGGACAGTATTTAGGATAGGATAACCCAGAAGTCTCCAGTCTCCTTTAGACTGTTGGGCATGTTTGAAATATTTCAAATTTGACATTGGACTGTTAAATTTCAGCCACTTTCTAAGGCTGCGGGCACCTTAGAAAATGATTGCTAGTATTAAAGTGGAAGATGCACTAGCTGTAGTAAATCACAAAGCACCTATTTGCCACTTATGATCTCCTCCTCCTCCTCTTCTCCTTCTCCCTCTCCCCCCTCCTCCTCCTCCTCCTCCTCTTCTTCTTCTTCTTCTTCTTCTTCTTCTTCTTCTTCTTCTTCTTCTTCTTCTTCTTCTTCTTCTTCTTCTTCTTCTTCCTTCTTCTTCTTCTTCTTCTTCTTCCTCTCTCTCTTCTTCTTCTTCTTCTTCTTCTTCTTCTTCTTCTTCTTCTTCTTCTTCTTCTTCTTCTTCTTCTTCTTCTTCTTCTTCTTCTTCTTCTTCTTCTTCTTCTTCTTCTTCTTCTTCTTCTTCTTCTTCTTCTTCTTCTTCTTCTTCTTCTTCCTCCTCCTCCTCCTCCTCCTCCTCCTCCTCCTCCTCCTCCTCCTCCTCTGCTCCTCCTCCTCCTCTGGGTCTCTGCTGGCTACCAGAGAAAATGACACTAATGCCCACGGACATCATGCCACCCATTTATAGTCCAACCAGAAATTGCTTGACTCCTCAAATCCTGATTTTATCAAGGAGCAGCATCAAACACATTGTTTAGAATTGCCATTTTGATTCTTTGCAGGATTTGCAACAGCTACTAAGCAAAATTGAATCTAAGCTGCTTCCCCCTGTTCTACTGTTGAAGGTCAGACCACCCAAACCTCTTTCAGGTTAGAAACCTTCTCAACTCTTTCTTGTTTTCTCAACTTTTGTACTTCACTGTGCAAAAGGTTCTGGGAGAGAACCTGACATAGTTAGCAACACCATTGCTGACACAAGCCTTCCTAATCTTGTCTAAGAGGCTGGGTCAATGATGTTGATTCTTATTACTATATTATTATAATTGTTGATAACGACTTTTTTTTTAAATAATGGGGTAATGAAATATTTATATTAGTTGGACTGAGATCTGAAAAAAAGGCTTCATTCTTTAGGGGGGAAAAAATGAAGCAGAGCTAAGTTGTTATGAAAGACCTTGTTCCACAAAGCTGATTTGTTGCACCGCCTAAAGCTGCACCAAGAGGAACAAGTGTCTTTAAACACTACTACCTCCAATGTTCTCAAGAGAAAGAGAGGGAAAAAATGTTATTTTTCAGGAACTGCTACCTGTGCATTGGGCGTCGGCAAATGGATCCCCTTGTGGTCATCAGTATATGGAACTGCATACTTATTTCTCAAGGTGCTACTCTATGTATTTGCCTATGTTTCTTAGCCTTAGCCATTTTGAGATAGGCGGACTTCAACTCCCAGAATCCCTCAGCCAGCAGCACGTATGGATTTCAGCTCCCAGAATTCTGGGAGTTGAAGTTCACCCATCTTAAGGTTGCCAAAGTTGAGAAATAAGGCTTAGAAATAAGCCTCCCTGTAATTCCTTGGCATTTTAACTCCAAGGGCTTTCAACCTGAGCCTCTTACTTAATTAGTTCACCTATTTCTTTTTTTCTAAAAGTCCAAGGATTATCGCTCCCTCATATTAAAGATAAAGAAACAAAACAAGCAGAAGCAAATTTCAAGGGGATTGGATTGAGGGAGAAGGGGGCTCTCTTAACACCGTTGCGGATGTGTTGAAATTCCAGTAAGCGCATTCAGGAGCCCGTTCGAGGCTATAATGAAGAGCGATGAAGGCAACGTCATTGGCCTGGGCTACAACACCTTGATCAGAGAGTGCCAGATGGAATGTCTGCAAGAGATTTTCAACAGCAAGTTCCAACAGTATCTGGAGATAGAGGATGATCTGGAGAGCAAAGAGGAAACACTTAGGTAAGCAGAGGAAAAGATCTGCTTCGGCTGTTGATTTCCAGTTGCATTGTTTAGGGCAGAGGTCCCCAACCGTTTGAGCACCAGCGACCACCGGTTCTGTGGAGAGAGGTTTTTCCACGGACCGGAGGGTGCATGTTTTTGTGTACTGCCTGCATCCCGCAGATGGGGGATGTCGTGGCCCAGTACTGGTCCACAGACCGGGGGTTGGGGACCCCTGGTTTAGAGTATATAATCATACCATGTAATTCTGTTGCTGAGATGAAGCTGGTAAGGTGTAGGAAACCTGGTTTCCTAAGATGATTTGATAACATTTTTCTGATTTTTATAATAGCCTTCCCATTGTTTTTCCAGTCATTTTGGCCATCAGGATTTCAACCGTAATAGATTTGGAGGGAACCAGCTTACAGAAGGCTACTTATATGTGCATTTTAATTGGAAGATAGCAATAGCACTTAGACTTATATACCACTTCACAGTGCTTTACAGGCCTCTCTAAGTGGTTTATAGAGTCAGCATCTTGCCCCCAACAATCTGGATCCTCATTTTACCAGCTTTGGAAGAATGGAAGGTTGAGTCAACCTTGAGCTGGTTAGGATTGAACTCCTGGCAGTGAGCAGTGAATTAGTCTGCAATACTGCATTCTAACCACAGCACCTCCATGGCTCCCCCTCCTTTTTTTTAAATACTTTTTTTAAAAAACAATTTGAGTGACATACAAGTAACCCTAATAAATAACACTCCTCTAAACCATTGTTGCTGGCTTTCTTAAACTGTTACTGGCTTCCTTGAAATCTCGTGATAATGTGTGTGTTTTCACGAATTGTCATCTCTGTCTATTTTAGTTGTGCAAAATTCCATTTTCACTTATCTGGCCGCACCTTTCAAACTGGAACGGAATTAAAAGCTGAGGCAGGTAATTTCCCCGCTCTGGGCAGGACCCTGAATTGTCTTGACGAAACTCCTTCAGCAGAATTATAGTATGAATACGAACACAAATCAACATGTTTAGACCCAGGAGTCTGCACTCTGTGGGTGGGATCTTAACTTGCGCGTTTCTTTCCTGATTCTCATTTTCCCATGGTCCTTCCAAAGGAAAGAATAGGGGGTGGGAAAATAAAATCCTTTGCCTTTTAATTTTTTTCTCAGGACCTTATATCTCTGTGATCCCTTGGTTTTGTTTACATTTTCTAGATATGCCTGTCGCCTTCAGTGTTCACTGGAGCAACAGTCACAATCTTTGCTTCTATTTCCTGAGTCGTCCACCCAAGGAAAAACCTGGTAATGCTACTGTGGAGTCTCTTACAAGAGTTTTCTGAAGTTTTTATGTGCATTTCAGACTTCCTGGTGATATATTTCAGACTCGTCAAGATATAATCCTCTGTACAAACTGTTTTATTGGGGGGGACTGAAATTCAACAGCCAAATCCTGGTATCAGATCATATTTCATAAAAGTAAAAAAGAGTGCAGGACATCTGAGTCATAAGAATTTGGCACTGGGAGTTGCCCCATGATTTTAGCTCCATTTATTTGCAAAACAAAACAAAACACAAACAAAGTCTAAACATGTGTATAGTTTTCGGTCTTGAATAAGCAGCTTTAGGCATGCTGCTTTTAAAATTAGTCACCTGAAAAAACTCTCTTTTCCAAAACATACTTTTGAGATTACACATTTTGCTAAGTGTAGTTTGTTTTCACCCTAGTTGCGCTGAATATGCTGCGGTTGGTTAGATTTGTGCAACATTCTTAGCCATAAATTGCAGTGACTGGGTTCACATGACACATTAAGGGGAAACTAAAGTCACTTCATGAGGGTTTAGCACTGTGTGTATTTAGCTTCTGGGTCAGACAGTTGGCCCATCTCACTCAAAGCTCATAAATGCTGAAACACATAATCCAGCATCACCGTGGGACCCAGGGTTGCCAGTTTCTGTAGTAATTTGATAGAGTATGGATTCTGTTTATTCCTATGTGTAGTTCTATGAATCAAAAGGAAGGAGGTGGAGAATCTGGAGGGGTGCTTAGCAGAAGACAATGTTCTTTCCCTACTATGGGGCCCATCTCTCATACGATTCTCTGTTCTTTCTAGATTCTGATCCCAAGCCAGATATTCTTTGGCCATGTGCTGCTCCGATTGTATATTCAACTGTCAGCCCTTGTTCGTCTTACTTCGCCTTTGCCTGTGAAGATAGGGTTATTACTTTGTGGGACACATCAGTTGGTGAGCGTTTTCCCTATCAGCTCGGGAAAGTTAGATAAAAGGAGAATTCCCACCCTGAAATTTTATCACGGTGGCAAACCACTTCTCTTAAACCAAGAGTTTTCTAAGTGATGGGCCAGGACTTCACTCCTTAAATAAGCTGAGTACCATTTTCTTCTTCTACTTCCATATAACTAAGCATCTTATTTTATCACACGCATACCCCAAATTACATTTGGTTGGAAACCTTGTGGGGGAGGTTGGACTTTAATTACCTAAATATTTAGGAGATTGTCCAATTCTAGAAGACTTTGGACAGTATGCAACATGGGCTGGGCTTGTAATGTAAGAAGAAGCCCGTGGCATTTTTGCGTCACTTAGGCTAGTACCTACTCTCTACTAATTTCTGCAGAAAGTTGACTCTGGCATAGTGAAGTAAACTGTTAGGAGAGCCTTGATAAAGAGGAGCCTACTACCCTCCATCTCCATTTGTGCTTTTCTAGGGTTTCCATTCTCTGCCATGGTGCTTCCCGAAAACTACGTTGCACGAAACATTCAATTCATGCCACGTTTACTACCATCCAGAGAGAAGACGTCTTGCTGTAGTAAGGATCCTGCCCATACCATGGTGCAGCTTTTGGTGCTGTGCACAGATGGGTCACTTCACCTGCTCACATCGGGGACCAAAGAATTTAGGTCCAAGTTATTAGGAATCAGGTGAGGCAGCCCACATAAAGGTCCAGAACATTTGAGGAAATGGGGATGATCTCCACAAGCGGCATTCTCTGGCCCTGATTTTCCCTGAAGAAGAAATACAGGCTATCTTGCCAACTACCGCAACGTAATTGTGTTCGTGACAAAAAGGCATTGCATTTTATTGCTTTTAGGGATGTCCATTGGCACAACCAGCCAAGATTGGAAATGTCCTTATTTGAAAAGAGTGTAGGCAATTGGAATCCACTGTAGTTGCAAAGCTTGGGTGTTTCTTGAAACCATTTAAGAATGCTGTTGATTCTTAATTCATTCTATTTATCCAAGAAAACAGATCAGAATTTAAGAGAGAGGATTGGGAAAACAAAGAATAATTATGAGAGGGCAGATGCACGAGAGTCATGCAGATGCTAAGAAAAGAATTTGTCCATTAAAGAAGGTGGACCCGCACAAACACAACTCAGAGAACTGGTTTTAGAATTTTTTTTTACCCTTCTTCCACCCTTTTCCATGATCTGTTTTCCCTAATTCCACACTATCGAATGACACCTTCTTGGAGATTCAATGGTACTGTAATATTGAATTTTTTCTTTAAAAAAAAAAGGCCAAATGGTTTTGGGATGGGATTTTTTTCCAGGCCAACATGACTCTCTCTTTTTTTTTTTTTAACAAGACGGAAATTGAATCTTTCTAGAATTTTTAAGGGAATTTCTGGTGCCATTCTAGAATGTTATTGTGCAAGCCTGAGGGCTAATACTATATTCTGTGTAAAAAAAATGAACTCTGCGCACTAGACCGGTTTGTCGAACAAGTTGAAATAGGGTTGGTGGGCAATGCACAATAAATCCCATTAGTCTTTATGGTCATTTTAGATCAGAATCAAAGAAGGACTGAACACAGTTCTCTTAAACAGTTGTATGACTTACAACTCTCTTGGTCATTAATAGGCTTTTCTGAAGATACTAAGTGAAAAAAAGTACATAAAGTCACTTTTTTAATAGGCCTGAGGTTCCTGATCAGACCATCAGTGGTGTGGCAACCATTCCAACTTTGCCTGATGCGGTGAGTGCCATATTGTTACTTCCTAAAAATTTCTCGTCTCTCTCCAAATCCAAGAAACCTGAAGGTGGGAGATCAAGGGAGAGGTGCTTAGAGATGAAATTAAATGCTATAACACAACACCCCATGAGTGTGTGGAAGTCATGAGTGCATGTCCTTTTTCTTTCTCCCAGGTGCTGATTTTCTTCTGGATTGGCGTCATTAATCTGATGGATACCACGACCGATGAGATCATTTGCCAATTCATGGTGCCACCTTCCTACAAAGTTGCATCCCCTTGGCAGCCCGTTTTTTCCATGGATACAAATGGCAGGTGGTTGGCCGTCCAAGGTAAGGCGTTCTGGAAAGGCACACCTACACCCGAACACGTAAGGAGAGGCAGGGTTCCTCTTTTAAGCAACGTCTTGAATTTCTTCAATGATTTCCTCAGCTCTCAAATTTTGGCTCACCTTCAACTTCTCCTTCTCCTTCTCCTTCTCCTTCTCCTTCTCCTTCTCCTTCTCCTTTAGAAGAGCTTGTTAGATCCTACTGGTATCATCCTTGGAGCACTTCCACAGTGCCATCATTTTATAAAGCTGTCATGGTTCCGAAAGAAGAAGCTCTTCAAAAAACTTTGAGGCATTGTTTACCTTAAAGAATCTTTAATTTGCAATATAGCTCCTGACAATGAGAACAATTAACCAGTGGAACAGCCTGCCTCCAGAAGCAGTAAATGCTCCAACACTGGAAGTTTTTAAGAAGAGACTGGACGGCCATTTGTCCGAAATGGTGTAGGGTTTCCTGCCTGAGCAGGGGGTTGGACTAGATGACCTCCAAGATCCCTTCCAACTTTACTACTCTTACTATTACTACTAGCTTCAGCACAGTACATAGAGAAGCCAAAATCTAAAATTCTCCTCCCCCAAACACACAGTATCTAAGCATAATTCACTCCTTCATTTAACAGTCATTAATCACATTCTCCAATTAGTTTGAAGTGTGAACTTACCCTCCCATTATCTCCTCTTATTACAACTAACCTTGAAGAATACTCTACTGAGATATTGTTATAGCTAACTAGTCCCCAAGCACATTCTTCTCCCTTCCCTCCAGCACCATCTAATATTTACTCTAAAGGTAATACACAGAAAATGTCTGCATCTTTATATATTGTCAAGCAAGAACATTTGATGTTAGCAGCATTGACATAAGCATTTTGAAGGCGATTAACAATCGTTTCCACGTTTGTCGGCCTCAGAGCCCTGAGCAGGACAGGTGGCTTAATTTGTCTTGCTTGATTTCTCTCTTAATTCTAATTCTGCCGCTTGATTAATCAATCTAAGGTGGACCTTTTAAAATAGGAAGGCTATAAATAATCTCTAACCCTAACCTTTCAACTACAGGGGAGTCTAAGGCTGGTAAAGCGGAAATGGAAACCATCTTTATTTATGACTTCAGCACATATTCTTTCATGGAAACGTTTGCTGCAAAAGCTGAGAATCTACCTGCTGCCTTTCCAGAATTGCCCTGGGACAAACGTTGTGATCTTTTCTTAAATAACAAGTAAGTCGACAGCCGCATTTCCTATTTTTTTAGAAACGAGACCGACCTTTTTTTCATGGAGGACTGCTCTTTTTTTTTAAACCAAGCAAAATTATCATTCTGAAAGGTCGAATTAAATATATTGAAAGAAGGCACCGTAGGTGTATCTAATCTCTTTAATTTTGTTACCTATGAGTTTTTTTTTTTTGCTGTGGTTTTGATTACATTTTGGTCTGGCCCATTTACTTTTTCTGGAATGCAGCCCCTGGCCAAAATCAGTACTGGCCTCCCAAAAGCTTCTTTAGATCTTAGAAAAGATCTTTACCGTTTTTAGCTGAACTCTTCTTCGAGTCCTAGTTATTCCGGGGGGAAGAAAAAAAAACAAACTACAACTATCACAGTACTTTCCTGAAATGTGCACTTTATCCATAGAATCACTAGATGGCAATATGATGTGTGCAGTGAATTTACGACTGGTTAGCTAGATTAAACTTAGAAGATGAGTAAGAGATAGGTGCTGCTTTGAACAAATGAGGATGATGATGTTTAATTCCAGTGGGGCTTATTTAGCTTCATCTTGGCTCGTATGTGACTCTGGACTATAACCCTACAATCATAGTCCAGCAAATAATGGCTTGCCACAGTGGCCAAACTGAGTGACTCTTGGTTTGTCTAGCCCAATGCTATCTACAGTGGCATCTATCAGTTTTGAGTATGGGACCTGACTTAACTCTTTTGATTGGAACTGTCAGAGCAGAGTTGGGACCTGCAGGATCAAGGCACTTGTTTGTGTTCAAACGCCATTTCTGCTCCCAGTGCCACGATATTTCCTGCTTTGCTCAGCGTTAGTTCTTTTACCATAAATGGTCTGTGGGAAGTTCATTCCCACATACCATTACAGCTACCTTTGGGGTTGAGTCCGTTCTACCAACTCTTCACACTCCAAACAGAGGGAGCTTGCCAGGAATTGAACCAGAGGAGTAAGAACCGTTTGGTGGAACACATTCCCAACATGCTACCCTAATACTCTTTAGCAGGAGCAGCTGTTAAGAGCAATGTCCTATTTTGAGAGTTATTTTGTCGATCTATTTGCAAAGGCTGCTAAAATCCTATATATCTGGAAGCACTGTGAAAACTTAAAAGTGCCATATAAATCCAGGAGTAACTGTCTGGGAGCCGGGGAACCCAGTTACAAATAATTTACTCCCCAGGCAATGAGGGGAACAAAAACCCGAACCCAAACCAAAGGGAGCTGGAATCACTATTTGTGTCTCTTGGCTAGTTTGCAGAGGCTGTCCACAATTAGCCAACAGATGCCAGAATGCTGGAGCCAGCTGCAGGAATATGCAGCCAGCTTGAAGAGGAAGATGTTTGGTGAAGTGAACGTGCAGCAAGAGTTCAGGTTGGTTTCTGTTCTTTGTCACCCCCAGAGACAGATGCTGAATCATAATTGCTTTGACCAACCCAGGACAGATGTTCTTTGTGTTCCCTATCGCAAAGATGCTCTGCGGATATTTTTCATGTCAGCTCAGGAAACAGGGCTAATATCAGGCGACAGAGAATTGTACCCCAAAATATTTGGATGGTAACAGAATGAGTTCCCTATTTCTATACCTATCTCCTTCATTACCTGGGTTAAAAAGCGACTGTGTTACCTTTGCCCCGCCATGTTTAAAGGCATGTTGGTTGGCTACACGCCAAGTTTAAAGGCACTTAACCCAACCCAGCTTTTTTTTGGGGGAAATGAAATGAAAAAGATGAATTACCTAACCACTGGGTGAATTTTTAACAGTCAGAATTTTCATCAGTGCTGACATGGGAATCACTGGAGTTGTTAAGCTAGTAACAACTAGCTTAACAGTTAAGCTTCTCCATTGACTTCATTTGTCGTGATCATGTAACCCTGGGACACTGCAACCATCATAAATATGAGTCAGTCACCAAGCGTCTGAATTTTGATCACATGATCATGGAGATGCTGCAACGGTCCTAAGTGTGAAAATAAGTCACTCTTTTCCAGAGCCATGGTAACTTTGAACGGTCACTAAACAAATGTTGTAGATCGAGGACTACCTAATTAAAACAGGTTTTGAACAGGGTAGCTTTTGCAAATACTCAGATTACGATTATTTGCAAAAGTCCTGTTAGTGTTTATCCTGTATATATGCTGTGCTATATTATGGAATCATCGTTGATGTGGCAAGCTTCCATTTCAAAAGTTGTCCCTGACGTGCTCCCCTAAATCAAACATTGTCCAGCGAGAAGAAAAATGTAAAAGTAGACTTTCTGCTCAAACCTACCAATCTTGCTGGGTGAAGACTGCATTCAAAGATTTCAATCAAAGGCCGTTTGAACAAATCAGATTTTACTTCTGAATTCATAGGGATAAAAAAAAACAAAATGCCCCTAAATAAGTCCAGCAATGGATGAGTTTTTGTGCAGCCGTACAAAAGCAACCTCCCCAAATCAGACTGCCTTTCTGAATCCATTAAGCTGACTGAGATCCCTCAGTTTTTCCATGGGGGGGTGGGGGAAATGAGGCTTTCCTTTGCTTTTTAGACTACATGAAGCCCGTTTTAGAAGGTACGCTATAATTTTATTTCCCACCTACAAAGGAGGGCAAAATTGTGCTGCCAAATTTCGGCCAACTGTGCCACAGAATTCTGGGGAGGATTCTGAGGGCCACAAAAATGTGTTGGGGAGCAGGTTATCTACCCTAGCAATACGTTGTCCATTTTGAACCATACCTCTTGATAGGCCTTCTGTTGAAGGGCAGACAATCACTCAGCGGTGGAAAAGTAAAGTAAAAAAAAAATGTACTTAGGAATCATGTCTGCTGATATCTAGAATCCTGTCCATTTGCCTTTTGTTATAATACTTTCTACCATTATGTTGTTTCTGAGATCATAAAAACGAGTTCTCTTATAGCAGTTCTTCTCTGTTTTAGCTTTTTTCCTGGGACTAGCGAAGAAGTATTACATGTTGACCCGGAACCTGAAATACCATCAACCTAAGCAGCAACTTTGCCATCTGATTCCATTTTTGGACACTTTTAAATAGCATCTGGTTTCTTGCAAGCCATTATTTCATTTAAAAGGAAGGAACAAGGTCAGAAACCAAGTATGGAAGAATTAACATGGGAATGGAGCCTCCAGTTGCCTTTGGAGGCTCAAAGAGTAATCTCTATTATATACTTCAGAGTATGAGAAGACAGCAGGGGATAGGGACCAAATGCCTTGGAGGTCTATGATGCTAAGAAACATACAAGAAATTTATACCAAAATACTTGTTTCTCCTCCTTTTGCATCCGTTCAGACGGATCTTAAGCCTGCAGATAAAGCCTTCGTTTGGTTATTATTATTATTATTAATTTTAAAAGCAAGATGGACCTGAACAATAGATGTCATTACTACTCTTTTTTTTTTACAAATAAACATAGCACTTACTTTGACAATATTGGAACTATCTGGAAATGAAAGACTCTGGTGTGATCCAATTCTAATTTCAGTTTGGCTGGGTAGAGGTGCCACTTTTTCCCCATCGACGGTGACAGATTTTTCCCAAGACAATAGAGAGCATTCTTCAATATCCCTAAGAATCATCATCCATTAGGAGGATCAGATGTAACAGCAGATCACGGTGAGCAAATGAGGAGAAACCTGGGGGGTCTTTTTCCTTTCCTTCTGCACATCACAATTCCATTACTTGGCTTCTGTTCAATGTAACCCTGAAATCATACTGCTGATTCGCAAAACATGTTAAGTTATAATGTGGCTTGTCTGTGGCTCAACGTTTTTTTGTTTTGTTTTGTTTTGTTTTGTGAATCCAGCCATTATTGTTTCTGAATCACTGGCTAGCTCAGCGAGTTTGACAAACCCAGCAAATAGAAAACCAGTTATAATCTGGGCTGGTAAAGAGTGATCTGCTCTCGCCTAGCGGAGTTTTATCAAAATAAAGCAGCAAATTATCATTTGAATTCATACACACCTGAAATAAGTAACTTCTTGCTCAGTGCTTTTTTGTACTTTTGGTATGAAGGTTTTGTCTGAACTATTACTTGTTTGGGGGTGGGGTGTGAGTGGGGAAATGTTTCAGAAAGCTTTTGTGTGTGTGTGTGCATCTGCCTTCATCTGGTTGTAGATTTGCAACAGCTGTCCATTAGGTTGGAGATTATTAGAGGCTGCTATTCAATAAACAGAATTTTAGCTGCTCGGCAGTCCACAAGAGAGCACTCGTGCAACACATCCCAATTCTATGCTTCCTTCAAGAGCCTAGCTTCGTTACAGGCCAAATGGACCTCAGCAACATCTTTTGGGGGAATTAAATGGGAACGCCTAGGATAAAACAGGACTGGCTTCATCCTATTACATCAGCCTGTCCCACCCAGCCAGGCAGAGAAGATATATTGCAGAGTTAAAGCACAGGTCCCCAGCCTTTTGGGCACCAGGGACCGGTTCCGTGAAAAGAGGTTTTTCCGCGGACCAGAGGGAGCGTGATTTTGTGTGCTGCCTGCATCCCGCGGATGGGGCTTTGCTTGTTTGTGCGACCGATTGCTGGCATGCCTTGGCCCAGTACTGGTCCACGGACCGGGGGTGGGGACCCCTGAGTTAAAGAACTCTGACTGGTGGGGTCTAGGAAGAGAACTTTCTCTGCCATTGTCCCCACCCTGTGAAATATTCCAGTCCCTCCAGAGGGGAGGCAGGCCTCCACTCTCCTGATCTTCCAGAAAAGGGTTAAAACAGGGCTCTGCAGCCTTGCATAGGGAACCCAAAAGAGCATGCAGTTGTGGAGTTCGTTGGTGCTATGAGAGTCCTCCCAACTAATTCTTAATAGCACTTAATTATTCTTGCCTTCTGTTTTAAAAAAAACAAACTGAACACTTTAATTTTTAATATACTGTTTTTATATTTTAATGTTTTATCATACAGCCACCCAGAGTCCCCTCTTTGTGGGAGATGGGTGGTTGAGGATTGCAATAAATAAATATTACGGTCGTGGGTACTCCATCTCTGGAGGGATTTAAGAAGAGACTGGAGAGCCATTTGTTTGAAATGATAAAGGCTCCCCTACTTAAGCAGAGGGTTGGGCTAGAAGACCTCCAAGATCCCTTACAACTCTGTTATTCCGTAATATCCATCAATACGGAAAGCTCCAGTTTACTGCTCTGCCTGTATGTTTCCTTTATCTTTTCTCTCTTTCAGGATTACACTGTTATTTATATAATTGGCCTTGCATTGCTTCTTCCATTGGTTATTTCTGCACGTTTGGAAAAACAAGCAAATCTATGCCTAATGATGGAACAAGGAACCTACAACACCACTCCATCTTCTGTCTAAATTTTACCTGCCACAGAGATATATGTAGAAAAAGGAGAGCTTTAACCGATTTAAAAGGGGGAAGGAAGCTAAAAAATATTGTATTTTAAAGTTCCAGGCCCCACCCTTTTATTTGAGACAGAATACAAATGCCATCTTCGCAGCTTTTATGTTCCTTCCCGAGTTTCTTCATTTAAGCCGGGCCTCACGATAATCTAATTAGTTTTTGCCGTCTTTTGAAAAGCTGGGCCTTTTCCATTTGGATAAATTGGGGCCTGAAACAGTTCCTTCATATTATTAGGAAACAAAGGGCTTTATTTATTTCTTTCATTGTCACCAGAGACGACAGCACAAGCTAAAAATCATTCTAAGTGATGTTCCACCTCCCAAGAAGGTCATCCGGCAGTTACAAAGCACCGGCAGAAATGATTGATGACAGATTAACAAACGGTGCTCCGGCATCCTTGCCAGTGACAAGATCAGCGGGATGGAATTTTCGTGCTGATTCAAAAAACACCTTCCTTGCTGTCTGGTGAGAATGGCATGTTTACAAAGGCTGCGTTTTCCTCTTTTTAAAAAACCGTATAATTTGGCTACAGAGAAGGTAGAAATGTTTCAAAAGAAAAATGGAACAAAGCAGGCCTTTTATATTTTGTTAAGGTCTAGCTTTGAAATGACCCCCTGAGTAAGTATGGAAAATGATACCAAAGGAAGAGCAGAGGGGATTATGGCTGTCAGACCAGCCTTGTCCCTCCAATTACTTCCACCATCAAGAATAAATAGGTCATTGAAAATGCTCGTGATTAACAGTGTATTTTTGTTTGGTAAATGACAGCTCTTTCTGAAAGCTGTTCAGATCAACAGCACTGTCTGAAACTTGCACAATCTTTTTCTTAAGCTCTATAAATATAGAGAAAAAGCAGCATAGCCCAGAGTCGGAGTCAAGAGAGGAATCAGAATCTCTACATTCCCACAAACAAGCCCAACCCCTCTTGAATTCTGTTAGCCCTTATCCTAATATCCTAATGTTAGCCTAATAGTGCCAACCATTAGTTGACTAGATTCCTGTACATAGGCATCAGCTTAATTGGAACTTAAGGTGTGGCTCTCGTCTTTCGCGTCTGGCATTAGGCTAGTTTTTAGCCTCTCGTGCTGCCTCATTCATGTCATTGACTTAATTCGCTTGCTATTGCCGCATTTGCCCACCTTAAATAGATTATGGCTGTGCATGTTCCACACCACATCTTTTAGGAGACATCTAGACGAAGCCACTGGAAATGGTGTATTGTTTGAATATTAACAATACTGCAGTTCTCTGTCTTTGCACGTTATGCCACAAAGGGCTTATCTTGCTGTTCTGATAAGCACTATTCTACTTCAACACCTTTCCCCAAGCTGACTCATTGCAAATGTTCTTGGACTGGAATTCCCAGGATTCTCACCAATCATGGGCTTGCCTTTTCTGCCTCAGTGGCCACATCGATAGTAACGAGCCACACTGTCAAGAGTCCAATCCCTCCATACACATTCCCAAGATAATTGGGTTTATTTCCTTCATCTTTAGCATCATTTTATTTGTTGGAGGTAAAACGAAAACAGTTCCTGTGTTTTTCCCACCTTCTCAGCATTTTCTAATAGCAATTTAAATATTAGAAGTCATTTGTAGGTCACTATTTCCCAAGGAGCATTATCTTACATTGTACATTGTTCTTTTCTGCACTAGTAAAATCATTTTGTTCTAGGCTTCTTGAAGTTGCGGGTTTTCTAAGAATTGTTTTAATTGAAAATACTAAAATATTTATTCCCTGTTCTTTCGGTCTGAAAGGTTTTTAGATTATGAAAAACAGGTTTCCTACCACGTAGAATCTACAAAGACAGGTCACAAAAGAAAGAAGCACAGAGGAGTTTCTCCTAAAGCAATGGTTCTCAATCTGTGGGTCGGGACCCCATTTGGGGTCGAACGACCATTTCACGGGGGTCGCCAAACAACGCAGTCCGCCATTTTTTCCCCCCTTTTCCTTAGCTGTGCTACTCCCTTTTATTCTATTGGCTTTTGAAAGCCAATAGAATAGACTCTCTGGAATAGAGTCTAATTCTATTGGCTTTCAAAAGCCAATAGGAATTGTCCAGGCTGTCTCTGCCCTGCTGAGCCCACCAAAATTCCACTTCTGCAAACGGTGCTGCACCAGTTGAGTAGTCCTCGACTTACGACTGGTTGAGTAGTCCTCGACTTACGACCGGTTGGGGGTCGCAGCATTAAGAAGGTTGAGAACCATGTCCTAAAGCTATATATGGATACAATTCTAATGGGGGGATGTTGTAAATTGACCTTGAGAAACAGGAGGAAGAGCTACATAATGAACAACCATCATACAAAAAATATCTCAGCCCACAGAAGGAAAAGAGCTGCGGATAGTATGTCAGAGAAAAGAGAGGGGGAAAAAAAAACCCTCACATGCCAGAGAAAATAAAGAATCCTCTATGTCATGAAACATCCCGATTAAAGCTTCAAGATGTGCTCCTGAGGTGGATGAAATGGCATACCTTTTGAACTGCTGCAAATTTAATAAAGACTGTTGATGATTTGTCTCACTCATAACAGTGCATTTGCTGCTGCTTCTTTCTTTTTCTGTTCATATTTTTTGTGCAACTAACCCTCCCCTCGAATACATCTGGGTTACAGTAGAAGAAAGGCAATGGGCAAAGGAGGAGGAATGTCTGATTCAAGCAACAACTAGAAGGAGGAACGTAGTCACGCCATAGCCAAGCCAATATCCTTGGCTTACAGAACCACTGGACCATATCCTAACCATACGTGAGGCATTTGCACACCAACTAGGCTAAAATGGGTTGGAGAGTTTGTGGTTCCACATCTCGTGTGGATACAGTCATGAGAACTTTGATGGAGTTTGGTGATGTAGAAGAGCACAGAGATGGCCTTGGATAAAATGTGCAGTAGCCCCTAGTAAAGGATAAGCTTAGTTCAGGAAACCAAGATTGCCCTGCCTTCAAGGGAAAGAAGGGGAAATGCTATCAAGCTTTCAAGATTCTGTTATCATAGCCTATATCAAGGAAATAAAATTCTGGTATTTCTCATATCTGATTCCAGACTTGGTCTACCTTGTACAAAGGCTGCGCCAATTGGGTTATGCTTCAGAAAAATTACTGGATTGGAAAAATGGCATATAGATAAAGTAGGATAATTGATTATGCATTGATATTCATTAAATAATACCACCTTCAACTATTTAGATTGTCATATAGTACATAAAGGTTCAGAGTGCTTTGAACTTTAGAAATGGTTGAAAGAGTCCTACCTATCCATTCAGGCACAGATTGGTTAATGTTTTTTTTTGTTTTTAATCTTCATTAATATTCCTAGGTTCTTTCCTACCTTCACCCCTTTCTAAGGAGCTAACCCTAATCCTTTCGAAGGAGCTCACCAGACTAAATTATTAAACAAATTAAAAAGAAGAAAACATTTAAATAGACACGGCAAGAAAAACAACCTATCAAATTTACTAACAATAAAGAAAATGAAAGTTCAGCCAGAAAGACAAAACAAATTAATTAGCTCAAATATTGATGAAATGTGATGGACCAGCCCATTTAAACAT